TTTTTGGGACCTAGCAATGTGGTGGTGCATTGCTGTCGCCATTACGTTTCCCTTCAGCCGTTCCCAACCCTTTCCAGCCCTAAACCCGAGCATTCCCAGCACCCTAAACCCTAAAACCTACGGCCGCGTGGCAAGCACTGATGGCCTTCGGCCAAATGGCCTGCCTGGCCATTGAGGAGGTGCTCTGTGTCGTAATTGCATGCTCGACACTGTCGCACGGCCACTGTAGCGAAGTCTAGCACACGGGCCGCAAGGTGCAGTGTACGTTCTGGCTATTGTAGTATTTTTGCACTATTATGGTATTTTTATACTCTTATCGTAGAGTGTTGCTTCATGCACAGAACCCTACACTCTATTGCGACACACTAAACCTTTACTCACCCAGTAGAAAACTGACACCCGAAGCTCGAATCCGATTGCAGGGTAGCACGTCCAAGGCGGAGAACAACCCTGTTTGGCACAGGTGCCTAACCTCCAGCATATGTGGGCAGCCCTGGAGGCAGTGATTGGGGAAGGGGGGAGGGTCAGGGTACGGGGTTTAGGGTTCATTCGAATCTTTTATTAAACCCTAAGACCGTACACCCTAAACCTTAAACCCTGGGTCTATAGTAGGACTTCAGTCGCCGGCCTCTTAGTTTCGATTTTGCTGCTGTGGCCACAAGAAGGGGACAGTATGTAACACGTTATGCTGCAATGCTATCACTGGGGCATGCCGTACATACACCACAAGTGCCATGATATGTTCGAATGCAGCAGTAATTGTGGTACGGTGTGGTGTGGTTCTAGTGTGGCACGGCATGGTTACCAGCTTCTTTGTGACTTGTTTTTGCTGCTCGGGCTCGCAGCTCACGGTTGCAAGATCGGGCCATGGCAAGGGGAGGAAGCTCTGAGGATGGAGAGCAGCATTCCCAGACAAAGACTGTGAAGTCAGTGGCCGAAAATGACGCAAGGGACTTTGTACAGAATTATCTCTGCGGCAAGCTCACGACTTCTGGATCTGGAAAGACATCAGCATTAAGCTACCACCTACCGAAAAGCCACGCCACACACAAGTGCCGGAGCGGGCGCTTCGAGCGGACGTATACCGGTGGAAGTGCCACTAGGTCCTAAGTATCCACAAGGTCCCCGAGCAGTCTTATAATGATATTTTTGTGTTGTTATAGTAATACTAAACCATGATGATGCTATAATCTTTGCACATCTTGGATCCAAGAATGAAGGTTTTCTGGTGTGGGGACACTGCGAACCAAAAAATCGCTCCAGCCATAAACCCTACCACTATAATGGTATTATAATAATCCTCTAGGGGTAGTATAACAATACTATAATGATACTTTAGTGGTGCTATCCCCAAATGCGTTTTTGGGGTTCTAAGGTCACGTACTATCCAACTACACAGACGTTGATGCTTCGGTCTGCATCGAAGAAGACGGACTCGGATCTCTTCGGGCTCTGGGAAAGCTACCAGGAGGACCCAACACCCTTGTGGAAGCAGGTCAAGAAGGATCCGAAGAGCTTCGAGGACGATAAGACAAAGGAGGGCAATATACTAGTCATAGTACACCATAGTATACCTCTAGTACACCACGCAGTCTACCCAGGACTACAAGATGGATTCTGGCAAGTACCGGGGTCAGAGCTTCAAGGCCGCCTACAAGAAAAAGGGCTACGCTGAGTACGCCTTCCAACACCCCGACCACTTCAAGCAGTCCCTTCGCATGCGCATGTTCTACGAGTACAGCGGCTCGGCAGTCCGGACCGGCGTCCTTTTCAACCTGTGGGACTTTGAGTATATACTACTATATCGTACTTTGAGCCTACTGTAGAATACTGTAGTACACTGCATAGCATACCATACGTTGTTACTAGCATACCATACGTTGTTACAGCGAGGCTAGAACATTGCGGTGCCATACTAGTGCACCCTAAAACCCAAAACCTCAAACCATAAACCCTAAAAACCATTACCGACACTTAATTCCCCCTGGACTCCCCACAGCCCACGGACGAAGCTCTCCTCGCTTCTTTCCGTTTGGGCACCTCCTCCCCAGATCCTGAAATCCCAAAACGAAACTACAAACCCTAAACCCTAAGGCCTAAGCCCTTGGCTGAGGCAAAGCCATGAAGAAGTCCACTCCAGGCGCTGGTGAGGCTGCGGATGTGCAGCCCCGGCGAGGAAGGAAGCGAAACGCAGCACAGAGGTGATTCGCTACCGTTCGCATCTGGTTGGAAAATGCGAGTAGTGATTTGGAGCTTCGGCATCAAAGGCAGGCAGCTCCTTGGTTGCGGGTTGCAGATGGGCTGTGTACGTCGACAACATGCTTTCTTGATGCAATAGGTGCCTGGGGGCCATAGTCAAAGTGTGAGGTGTGAGTTAGGGACTAAGGCTCAGGGGGGCTAGTGTTTAGCGGTGGAGGTTTATGCTGCAGGCTTGGGAACCTGACTCCCCGGAGACTTTGGCTGATGGACCTCGCTGGCAACGTTTAAGGAGCTAATTTCACGGAGGGCTTCTGTCCGACCTTCAAGCAAGTTGCTAATCGATGCCATGGGTGCCCTGCAATCATGTGTCGGAGAAGTTGCCTTGAAGAACAAGATTGCCAATTGTGTGTGCCGTAATTCCACGCTGAAGATCGTCTTTTCCAAAATGACAGTGCCCCAGCGTAAACTCCAAAGCCTTACACCCGCAGGGTTCTGGACAAACTTTGAAGGCCCTCGAAGTCCTTCTGAATTTTTCCTAGAAACTGCACCCCTAACCGCCCAAATCCTCAAATCAACCCCGAACCGCTTACAGTAACCCAAGACTCCGAACACTCTAAAGCCTTTGTGACCCGCAGAACCTATACCCCCTCCTGAGCCCTGAACCTGTAAACACATTAAACCTCTTTTGGCCAGGCCGCTTGGTTCCAGCCCTTTGTCCAAGCGCTCGACGCAGACGCCTGCTTCCATATGAATGCACCCTGCTGCTCATGATGACACTGTGTAAGATTGATGCTCAACAGACCTACGATAACCTACGTAGCCTCGTTGCCTAAAACTGCTTCGTGAGATCTTGAACACGTCTATCCAAACCAACAATCGTGCCCGCTTGAAGTTGCACTGCAAAGGTCTCTATCTTTATGACAGTCGCACTTTGCAAGACATTGCCTTGGTGATATACATCGCGACGAAGTATCTGTATTGTGGGCACGAGGGACGGATCTGAAAGGTCAATAATCAAGACTTAGATATAAGAGACGTGATCAAGATACCTACATCCAATCACGAACTGGACATGCAAAATCTCCTATCAGATAAAAACAAATCGTCAAGAGCCCCGCAGGTCGACATGAGCATATCAGCAATTGCGAAGAAAATAAACTGCACAATACCGGGAGGAGTGAGAGACGACCGGAGCGACGCACAGACAGACACACCCACACACACACATTCAGAGACACACGCNNACGCACACACACACAGCTTAGACACCTGCATTTTAGAATGCACGGCACTGGAGCTCAGGAAGCTAAAATTTCGGAAATCAAACCGTGACCATGTTCCGAAAATTTCTGGAAATTTTATAATCGCGAGCATACATACCTACCGAAAATTTTAGAAATTTTGCAATTAGAAGCACGGGCATGCCCATAAATATATCAAAATTGCTGATTAATATTGAACCTGTCGATACGAAATAGATTTTTCTTCTATTCTTAAGTATCTTATCAATTTCTGACCACCTTAAAATATAATTTTTAATAGAATTTTTCTTTAAAAAGAAAATCTTTAATTTCTATATATTTTATATTTTATATATTTAGAAAATTCAATATTTTCAATTAAAAAAAATAATTTAAAAAAAAAACTATTTCTTATTAATGAATTGAGAATAATAAAAAAAAATAATATATAATATTATTGTGATTTCTAAATTATATTTGTATATATATTGATATATTTTTTATCGAAATTCTTCAATAATTAAACAAAAAAATCGAAATAAATTTCAATATTTTCAAATCTTAAATTCCTAATTCGTAAACTCTAATTCAATTCATTAATTTATGAATAAGAATTCTATTTATAATTTTTATATATTAATTATTATTCTACTAAAAATTTTAGT